ACCGAGCCCAGCTTCACACACTTTTTAATACTGCTTTTTGTTTTACTTAACATAAACATTGCTGCATGCTGGTAAAAATTCTTCATAGCCGGGCACAGTGGCTCAAGCTTGTAATCCCAGCACTTTGGGAGGCCGAGGTGGGAGGATTGCCTGACCAGCCTGGGCAACTTGGCGAGACCTCATCTCCACAATAAATGAAAAAATTAGCTGGGCGTGGTAGCACATACCTGTAGTTCTGGCTACTTGGAAGACTGAGGCAGAAGGATCGCCTGAGCCTAGCGGGTTGACACTGGGGTGGCCGTGAGTGTGCCACTGCGCTTCAGCCTGGGCGACAGAGTAAGACTCCAACTAAAAAAAAAAATTCTTCATGAACATCACTTTCAGGTGTATTGTGATTTATTTGTTTATGCAACTATCCATACTGTTGGGCTCTCCACTTCTGAATGAGTTTAATTCTCTGGAACATCCTCTCCCCTCTTCTTGTTTTTCCTTTCTGACTTTCTAGACCCAGACAAAGCCAACAATAGCCAAAGGATCCTTGTCAGAGTTGTTGGAACCACAGCTCTTTCCACCAGCTTGAGCTCTAACTTCCGTAAATGTACTTTGTGCATTTCAGATCATGGCAAATATAATCAAGAAATGTTTGACCACTATAGAACAGCTATCTTTCTCTTCAATCACATTTCCCATGATTGGAACAGGAAATTTGCGGTTTCCCAAAGCTATTTTTGCCAAACTAATCCTTTCGGAAGTGTTCAAATTTAGTAGCCACGAATGGCTGAAAACCTTAAAAGAAGTTCACTTCATGGTACATCCAGGTGATGATGAAGGCCACCAGGTATGGATCTCTATCTTGTCTCATCATTCTGGCAAGTGAACCCAAGAGCAATCAGATGTCTTTATAGGTCTAGAAATGACAATGTTTTCTACTTCTTTCCTCATAAATGTTAGTTGCTGATGGGATGTTATCACATGGTTACCTATGAGCTAACACTGCTAACTCATGCAATCCTTTCTAGATGGTTTATCAAGAAAGATACTCTAAAACAAAGTCTTAGAAGGAAGTGGAGAGTTATTGGCATAAAAACGGCTTGACATTTTAATGCTGACCATATAAAAGCTAAGTCATGGCTCTGTCTATAAGGAAAAGATGAGATAACAGAAGGATTCAGTTATTTGGATAGAATATACAAGTACACAAGTCTATTGGGGTCTACAGCTAGAAATACTAGTACTGTATTCAGCAGTGGAGAATCAGTCAAAGCGCATTTACTAAGTAGTTATCACTGTCATTAGAAGAATAGTATACCTAGCTTTGAATCTCAGTTTTGCCGTTTAAAAGTTGGGCGGTGCTGGGCTTGGTGGTTCAGCCTGTAATCCCGCGCCTAGAGAGACTGAGGTGAGTGGATGGCCTGAGCCCACGGGTTCGAGACCCGCCTGGGCAACTTGGCGAGACCTCATCTCTACAATAATTCAAAAAATTAA